GACTCCCTCTAGCCACCTCATCCTCTGCCGTCCCCTTCTTCTTTTGCAAAGTATATATTTAACTTTATATGTAATCACAGCAGCAAGGATTGTATTTGCACAACACTGGAGGAATGAAGAATCAATATTAAAGAAGATACTGGATTGTGCAGAAATGGCTAGATTGACTTTGTCTCTTAAGGAGAAAGAAGAAACATACTATTACCAAACTTGGGACTTTTCTAAATCAATGGCTAGAGAAGCAGGATTGCACTTAGGGCTGAAATATAGAGTAACTGTAGAGAATAAGATAATAATCCAGTAGGTCTGATGTCTTTTGAATGATTATTTGTTTTATTTGTAGAAAAACAATAAAAAAATAAAAATTTAGAAGAAGGTGTGATAGTCATGGCTGCAGAGTTTGGGTGGGGCTTGCAGTTTTCCCAGTTTTTAAAGGCAGCAGCTACCTCTGCCCACCCCCTCCCCTAGAAACGTACAGTTCAAGTCTGCTGGTACTGCTTTAAACCCCATCCAGCCTATGTCAATAAAAGCAATGTCCATGAAATACCACCAGAGTCCTGCCAATGTTTTCAAAATCCCCTTTAAATGATGCCAAAGTTAGTCACAGTGGCTGCCTGGAATCATGATTATAATACAATGGGAGAAATGGAAGGGGTTGAATGACTTAGTTCTAATGGCTGCAATGGTGCTCAGAACTATTTCAGGACCCTGTAAATGCAAGGGTAGGAATTATGCTTCTGGCACCAGAAAATATAGCCATTCTGCATCCATTCCTTCTTTCTACACCTACTTACAAATTACACAGTATATTAAATAGCTAGCACATAGTTCCATCTTGTTGCAAACTGCCCAGAAAGCTTTGGCTATGGGCAAATCTGGCTATAGAAATGAAATAAATAAAAATAATATTGATTATTCTTTCTGGTAAGTATGGGGACCCAATCCAGTTCAATACCACAGCATTCATAGACATCTTTATCCTTCCCTCCCCACCACGATCCAAATGGATCCATTAGAGCTAAGGAGAAACAAAGCTCCTTTGTCATCCATGGGATTTTTTAAATTGGCAGGCAGGAAAGGATAAATTTTCCATCCATCCCATGTGCTGTAGTGCTGATCTGGATTTAGCTGCTTGTACTTTAAAGTAGAACACATGCACACACCAAGAGATGCAGCTGCATGCAACACATTAAGGCTACCAGCAAGGTCTGCACCTATAGAATGTGCTTGCTGACATTGGCTACCTGGCTGCTTCCACTCCAGCAACAAAACAACCCATAGGCCTTCCCATCTCTGGATTATTTGTCATATGAACCAGGACTCTGACTTGCCTTTGCCCTAACAAGCCAAAGAACACACTCAGTGACAAAATATGGTTTATTTCACTGGCTTGTTATGGAAGAGACAACCAGAGTTCCTGGGTTGCATGTAATGCTAAACAAACCACAGATGGATGGCCACACCCACTTTCCACAAAAGCAACCAGGAAGTCGTTAGTAGCATACTGCCACATTTTATCTCTCTCTCTCTCTCTCTCTCTCTCTCTCTCTCTCTCTCTCTCTCTCTAAGGCTTTTATAGACCATCCATCTACCGGCATCTTGGGACATTCCCAATAACAGATTTCCTCTTAAAAACTAGGCCAATCTAATGGGCAGCTGGGCCAATATGTGTTTTCCATAAATTTGAGATTTGCTAGTTTTTAAAACTGAGCCATTTGTCCTTTGATCTTTCACTTTGAGGACTATGTAGAAAACAGGGGACTCTCATGCTGTTCCTCCCCACATCACAGGGTCACCGAGGCTGAATGTATATGCTGGGGTTTTGCCCTTCCACTCTGTCTATATATGTGGGTGTAAAACAAGTACTGATAAAACATCATCCTGATGATGGAGCAGGGCTGTCTCAACAGACATGCTCATAGTAATGGGCAGTACAAACCCCTCCCCAGTGAAGGCTGATGGCACCAGCAGGGCTGTGTAGCCACTCCAGATTGGCACTTGAACTTTTAACAGCGCTATCCATGGTGCTGAACCCTATCCACAAAATAAGTTTGTGCCCTGGATAACAGATTAAAGATCTGGAGGTAAATCTAGAGCAGATGCACAGTCCCATGGACTTCGGAGCCACCAGCTCCTTTGCCCTTCCTCCAAAGTCACGCTGTTGAGTGTCAGGAACTGCAGGACACTCTAATCCAGAAACTGCAGTTCTGTCCACAGCTGTCCTGTGGGTTGAACCAGAAGAGTTATAAGGTGAAGTGTTTCCCTAGGAAGTCAAGGATTCCCAGTTACTGAAGTCATCATGCTGGTCACTGACCTTCACCAGGCAGTCTTCCTGTGCAAGCAGAGACTTTGCTTCAGCAAAAATCATGTTTATTAGCTCTGGCTCATTCTGACTCTCAGCTTGTTCTCTGGCTCTGAATCCCAGCTCTGATCTTTGGCTTGGCTCCTGGTTCCTGGCTTCAACTCCGAGGCTGCCTACAGTTTAGCTCTGACAATGTCCTGCGATCCTCTTAGGCCAGATAAAAGCTGCCAGGCTGACACTGAAAAACAGCAGCCCCGTGTCATCTCCGCTGCCCTTGGGAATGTCTAGTAATATCTACAACCTGCCCCCCTGCATTCACCGGGAGCTACTTGCAGGAGTGGGAACACTCATGGTGCAGCGAGGTGACATTGTGCCCTTGCTAGAAGGCAACAAGAAGAAATCAACGTGCAGGCTGCAATTACTGGTGGTGGCAACATGCTTCTCATTCCCAACCCTACCATAGAGCACCCTTCACCAAATGTGATGTCCTCCAGCAGTTTGGACTACCCCTCCCATCAGCTTCAGCCAGCATATCCAGCCATCACACACACATGATGATTGCTAATGCCACTGCTGGCCACAGTTACCACTGGCCATACCATCACCCTTTCCGTCTAGGCCTGATCCATACCACTGCCCCAAGGAGAGGAGGGCAAGGGCAAGGAGGTGACAGGGCAGTTGAACAGGCAATCACAGTGAGGAGGAAGTGGTCCTGGGGCACCGGGATCACAGTACCCCACCTGCTGGAGTTTGGCCCTTTACAGGACTCCACAGTGCTGGTCTCCGATGCCAGCCGTGCATGCTAGATGCTTCCCGCAAGCGTCATCTAGGTGAAGGTCCTAGACGTGATATTCAACCTTCCATCCAGCAATGCATGTAGCTCACTGTTCTACAGCCACTGACCTGCTAAAAACTGTGTGGCTCCAAAATCTGTTTGCGTGGCTGCCCTCTCGGAGCACACAAGCCATGACAAGAGCAAGCGCTGCTGGTCTCGCTTGAGCAGTGGTGCAGATGGGGCCAGAAGGAAAAGATGAGCAAAGGGCCAGGTATAAGCACATCAGGGAGAGTGTGCAGTCAGAAGTAGGGGTCTCCTGAAGGCAAGTGGCCCCCAAAACCAAGAGATGGTCATGCTGGAACCATTGCCCACGCTTTCCACATTACAGTGGGGAAACTGGTCTCCAAAGCCACCTGGGGAAGGACTGAAGAGAAGCCTGCAGAGAGGCTTTTTGTGCTCCGCACGCACCGTGACCTTCTCCTCTGCGGGTGTGTGCTTTCCAATAGATCATGAAGTGGCAACTGCCCAACTTTAACACTCACCGGCCAGGCATGCAGTCCATGCACTGAACAAACGAACGCATGTTATCCTTTGGCACTAGGCTGTTGGACCTAGTTCAGGATATTATTTTACCACAGTCTGAACACATCAGATCTCTGCCTGATTAGGATGGCAATCATAAATGATTAAGTCAGCACTGGCAAGAAAACAAATGAGAAATGCAAGCACAGGGGCTCTAGCATTCACAGGAAAGGGAGAGGCAGGCATCCCAATCTTTCGATCATGAACAGAGCTTTTTTTGGACAACGGCCATCCTGATCTGATCTCAGTTCTCATCTTATCAGAACAGGAACAGGAAGGGATCTGACTTATTGTTACAGAAAAGAAAAGAAACGAAGGTCAAGCCCCTATATAATCAGTGCTTCCTGAACATTTTGCAGATATTAAATGTGGCCACGATGAAACATGATTGTGAGCTTGTTAAAACATGTCAATAACATAAAGGGGACATAAAGTATACTGGAAGCTGAATCAGAAATGTAGCATGTATTCATCCTTTGCTATATCTACACTGGTAAGGTCTGCTTTCAGCACTCTCACAAGAACAGCATTCAGGTTACCATTCTCAGAGGGCTGTTTGCTTGTTGGTTGCAGTTCTCCAACGTGCTCCAAATGAAGAGAATGTACTTGCATGCTCAAGCACATGAGATGCCAGCAGGTGGCCATTCACCCAATGACAACTTCCTTCCAGGTGCTTGCAACCACGGGCAGGATGCTCATCTGACCTGCCCATTCACAGAAATACAATTATCTGCTTCTTCATTGCTTCACCTTACTTCAGATGACCACATAATAAAATGTTCCTCAGCTCCCCAACTCATGGTTGAATGCTAGACCTAACAGGCAGCTTTGGTCACTCTGTGCACAGGCTGTGTTAAGCTAGTAAAGGTTAACTGTCATATATATATACTGTCAAAACTAACTACAAAATACTATTACCATCTAGATACATGGTTCTGGCCATTTAGCAAATAATAGGGAATTAACCAAAAACTCATTGATAATTTTAGCAAATTTATCTTGCCAAGCAGTGAACAGCTTCGCAGTAAATACTTTGCATGAGTCAACTACAGTTTAAGGTGGTAACAAAATGTACTCGACGGTCAGCACAAATCAACATGATCAGAGCTCATGGGGAGGCTGGGGGAAAGGAGTGGGGCTAAGTGGGAAGACTGGCCATCTGGGAACTCCCAGAAGTCCATACTTAGCTATAGGCCACCGTTCAGCACAAACTTGATTATGGCCACTGAGGTTGTGAGAAAATCAATATTACTGAATATCACAACCACACTGAAGATTGTATAAGGCTGAAAGAAGGCAAAGACAATGATTTAATGTAATTGTGTTAATACATAATCTTACCTTTTGGTAACTTTGAGGAAGTATGAACAGAATTGGGATCTACATCCTCATCAGGCTGGTAATGATAAAGTGTCTGAGATTGCTTTTGTGATATCCGGTTGTTGTCTTCTTTCAGCGCAATGGGAGATGGTGGAGTTGGATTAAACTTGACCTGGGGAAAATTATTTCCTTCCTCTTTCTCCAGCAAAGAGTTTGGCCCATGCAACCGAGTCATATTGGACTCCTTTAATCCCAACAATCTGTGTTCCTTCTGCTTGCTGTCTTTTTTCAGGTTTAGTTTGATTCTAAAGCGGGCATTTTCTTCTTGCTCATTTCTCTCTCGATTTGCTGGGTTTTTCTTCCCAAATCGTGCCACCTTTCTGGGCATCTCAGTTGTAACCACCACTCCTTCCTTTAAAATGCCATTTGCAGTGGTCACTGAGTCAGGACTCTGCTGCACCTTGGCTGTTGACGCGGTGCTTGTGGAAATCATTCCCTCCCTCTTTTTAGTGGCACAGCTAGTTTCGGGAGGGTGCGTTGTGGGGACATTTTTGCTGGTTGGAGGCAGAGTTGCTTCTGTGTGTGGAGCAGGGTGGGTTGGCGGTGGGGAAGTGACACTGCTTGCAAGGTAATCATAATCCTCACTTTGCTCTTGCCCCATGCTCTCTTGCTCCACATGTGCCGAGTAACTGTAGTACTTTTTGGGCGGCTCCACCTGAGTGGTGTCTGCCTCAGGGGCCTCCTGGTCGTAACTGTAGGGATCATCATAGTGCCGCTCCGGTTCAGTGTCTCCAGCATCGGATGGGCTATGGAGGTTTAGCGTGGACTGGTTACAGTCTGGCAGCTGGTAGCACATGAGGTCCCCTCCGGAATTGGGGCAATGGCATACTTTGCATGGAGGCATGTGGAACGTGTGCCCCGCTGCATACTTCTGATCCTCGTGGACGCAACCTATTCTCCCGCACTGCGGGCACCCGTCCGACGGGAGCACTGCGTCGATGCAGTTGGGCGGGAGGTCTGGGCAGAGCATGAACTGGCAGCTGATCTTTCCTCCCCCCTTGGGGCAGGAGCATTCCGTGCTCCCAAAGTCGACGAAGTAAGACTGCCCTTCGGGGACTTTGCCGTTGATGAAGCCCACATTGACGCAGTCATAGTACTGGTAGCCCTCACAGGTGCAGCCGTGCTGCAGGCAGGAGGCACAGCATTCATCTGGCTCGAGCACTTCTTCGATGCAGTTTTCCAGCTGCTTGCACTCCACACCTGTGCAATCCTTCTGGGCTTTGGAAATGCCCGTCCAAATAAGCACCAAGAGTGCTGTGTTCATAAAGTGTAAATGTAATGCTCGGTGCCTATCCGTGATCTTCCTAAGCAGGTGTGGCAACAATCCAGGCTTCCTCATCTTGTATGGGGCTCTTTCCCCCCTCGGAATTTCTGTTCACTCAGCTCCTGGTCAGAAATATTTCCCTGGATTCTGTTTTGCGACCAGAGCCTAGGTTTATGAAAGAGAACTTTGTTAAAGGCTATACTCCGCACATGTCCTGTTAAACATTAGTGATACTTTAAAATTGGGATGAAATTCCAACATCTGGAAGCCTACATAGAAAATTAATCAGAATGCTGTCCAAGCACTGTAGACAGCAAACTCCAGGCAGCATTCATTTCTCTGTGTCTCTCTCTTTCCTGTCCTTCCCTTTAAAAATGCGCCTTCTCATACATACAACAAACAAGGAAGTTGCCTTTATAACTATTCATAAAATATACACACACTTTGTACTTCAGTAAATATTCGTAAAACATTCAGGGTTGTAGGAGGGGTAGCATTTTGTTAAAGAACAATTCTTAGCGAAAGCAACAGTTCTTCAGATATATGATACCTTCAGATATTTTCCCTGTTCACTGTATTTTATTCTGTATTGGTGATGGTACATTTCAAGAGGAGCGTAAAAACTTTAATATCCTGAAGCCCATTTGGAAATGGGCTCAGATCCCTTTGAAGCCTATACTTGGCTTGACATGGGCCTATATTGGCACCCCAGTCCATGTTGCCATAGTTACCTTTCTCTGACCCAACTACCCTGACAAGCAAAGACAACAGGCACTGCTTTTCTTAAGCCACAAATGCTGCCACAGGTGTGAACAATGGGGCCTATGGACAGAACATGGGGAATGTAAGGATATTAGGAAACAGGGACTATTTCCCCATGATTCCTTTGAGTCATAGACCTGTTTTCCCACAATTCCTTGGGGAAAGGGATGGTCTCACATCTAATGGTGGCACTCTCCCATTTGAATCCTTGTCCCCGACAAGGGGAACAGAAGGGCCTGGTGATCTCTTGGCCTGGTCAAGGTTGCAAAGGCAGTACTGGGAGCAAAATGGAGCACCAACTTCAGCTTGAGCTGCATGTAAAAATGCTCTTTGGTCTTGAAAAATCAATATTTTTGATTGAATCCATTCTGAGGAAGTTCAGTATCCCTTTATTTTGATCAAGATTTCTATTACGCTCCCTGTTTTGCTGACCTGTAGTAACACAAAAGAAATATAACTGCTGCCACAGAAATTAAATGACAAGGTGGCATTGTATTCTAACAACTGGTCAAAATGTTAGGAAGAAGCAAGTAAAAAAATGAATTGAGTTTGTTTCCTTTTCTCTGATGTTTGAAGTGGGCCTTCTGGATGTAAAAGCATCTACATATCACTGCAAGAAGGACCAAGAAAGGGTTGTATCTGTCCTCCAGCAAGATAGAAACTGATAGATTTTCCTCATGCTTCTCCCAGACCAAAAATGACAAAAACCCCTGATTATGCAATTATTTAAGTAATTGTGCTTTTCCTGTATACATTTTATTGTTGATTTATTCAGATTTTTCTTTCTGTATGACTGTGAGACACTTTGAGTGCCATTTTCTTAGCATTATGGGAGGACAAATCAAACACATAAATGTTTCCAGTATACTTTCCACAAGGTTAACAAAAATAATAAAATCCTAAGATATGACAATCAAAATACACCCCCCCGCGCAAAAAAAAGAGAATCATCATCCTACTGTAATATACTAGTTGGGTCACCCTTCAAGAAAGCATGCATGAAGTGGGTCTTGAGTTGGTGTCATGGCTAAGTTCATCTGGGGAACATTTCTGAAGAGTTGGATGGCCCTCAAAATCCTATTTTGGGGATGTGGGGTGAAGGGGAAGAAAAACAAAAAGTTCTATTGCATGAGCCCAAGTCGTGACATAGGATAGACTGAATACAACCGCATTTGTAAATTGTGCATCTTCTTTCCCTGATCGTTCATAATTTTAGAAGTGGTTCTGCCAACACTTTTACATTTAAACAGATGGAAGCTAGCACAGGAGTATTCATCCACTATATTCAGACTTGCATTCATTAGTATAACATCTCAATTTAAACGTCATTTTAATTGTTAATATTATTTGCTTATTTTATCTGGCCAGGGCAACTTATTTTATATTGTTAATTTGTTTAATATTTTGAATGTATTATATTTTAATTTATGTTGTGAGGCGCCCCGAGGCTTCAGTGAATGGGGCGGCATAGAAATGTTTTAAATAAATAAATAAATTTAAATGTTTCCATAAAGATTTGTTATTGTTTTTAGCAACTTGGCAAGCAAGATAACCATATAAAAGTTAGATACGGAACTGATTGCAGGTTTTGACTCTGAAATAAAGTGGAGAATAAAATCAAAAGGACAGTGGCAGCAACTTCATAAAAATACTGAACAGTTTTGCCATGATTGGGCTACGAGAGCTGAGGGACATAGACCATGTAGGGAGGATGGACATTCAGAGGCGAGATTAAGCCCACAGGCTCAACGTTCTTCACCCCTCCTCTAGAAGCATCAGCACATTGGCCCAAGATTGGCCAGCCACTCAGTTGTTGTCTCTGTTTATCTGAACATACAGAATACAGCAAGGAAAGTCATTACTCATAGCAAAGTCTGAGCTGAAACTCAAACATATAGAGTGCTTTCAACTTTTCCAGTTTCTAAAACCCTAATAAGGGTGGGGATGCTAAATCTAATTTGTACATGTGCTTTGATGCAACATGTCAAGTTCTCTTTTATTTAACACCACCCTGTTGCAAAAGATACGGGTAAAAGATAAGTATCCCAAGAAACCTAAGGACAGGACAATGTCTCTATTCACAGATGTTTACCTTCTGTGCCTGGCATTGTCTGAATGTAGGATTAATGTTTGAAACATACTTGGCAGATTTGATATCAATTGGTTCCCCCACCAACAAAAACCAAGGTGTCTCATTTATGCTTAGAACCTTCTACAATGTAAATTGATCTTTGGTTTCAGGGCTATAACTTTGGTCCGTTTCACGTTTTCATTCCAGAGGAATTTATGCAGTACATTGCAAAGGATCATTACAGCAAAAAACATTTCAGTCACTTGCCAGTTGCTCATTCATGTTCGGAAAGGCACACAGTTTCCTCTCACAATTTGGTTCGATACAACTGCCAACAATACTCACACTACATCTGGTGAGATCACATATTTCCGGATTGTGAGGGTGTGTGAAAGGAAGTACTAATCCAATGGCTGGCACAGTCTTCCAGAAACTGCAAGTTTTCTATATTTCAAACACAGGAAAAATTGCTTTCAAATATTTTCCCTCATCTCCTTTTAATTTAAAACACATTTTCATATGATATTACCCACCTCCATTTCCTTTGCCAGTTGCAATCCTTAGAACAAATTAAATGAAATGAGCAAGATCTGGCACTACATGGTGGTAAAAACACAGAATATAAAAATGTCTGTACCTATACAGTTTGTATTTTTCAGCTCATGGCACCTTTTAGTAGAACACCTAATATTCCAGGTGATCTATGCCTTATCTTTTTTGATCTGGTGTTGGACTTTGCCAGACAGCAGGGAACATATTCCTCTACTTCCACATCCATTCAAAGTGTTATGGTCTGTCCTAGAAGACAGCACATGCATATTGATAAAGAAACTAGAAAACAAATGAAGCAGACTCTTTTGCAAAGTGTAAAAGCAAAATGGTGAGAAAAGCAGGAAAGGATGAGCAAAGTAAAAAAGAAGGGGGGAAGTGCTGGGAAGACAAAGAAACAATCAAAGATATAGGCATATGGACTTTCTATCAGAGGCAGTGGAAAGAAAACTATCAACCAAAGTTTTGTAAACCACAATAGGGACTGATTTTCTCGTGTGTGTGTAGCTATTGTAGTTGTGAGGCTTAAATATATGCCCAGTTTAATGTTATGGTCAGATCCTGGAAAATGAAGTTCCAGGAATGATGCATAACTTTGCTGCTTGTTTGGATCAAGACGCAAATAATGCGAAGAATGACCTTAAGCATGTATGCAAATAAACCTTCACTCTTGCAGACTTTCCACAATCTTTGGGGGTTTGTTTTCTTGCTTTCAATTTCACATTTGATAAGGAGATGTAAACACAGCCATATTTCAGACATATAGGGAAACTCTGAAGAAAAAATTAAGCGAATGGGTGATTTTGGCCTTCAAATAAAATATTCATTGGCTTTCCTATTTCCTCCTGTAAGAGCATACATTCCCCTTTCATATCTCTGCACTTGCCTTCCAAGCTTGCTGGTCATGGTGTGCCTACAAGCTTTTTCTGCTTGGAACCTCTAAAGAGAATGGAAAGTGAAACAGAAGAATGAATAGCATTCTTCTGCCACTCAAAATATTATCTTTAGGACTGATTTTTAAATAAATAATTTCTTCTCTTTTAACACTTAACTTGGTCATATATCTGAATGTTGCTCCAACACCTATGAATAGCCAGTTGTTTTACTAGGGCTGGGAGGGGACTGTGTCACTGGAAAGATCATACACCTGGGCTATTCTCCTGAGACTCTTCCTTTCCTCTCCCCTGAGCTATTCTAATTAAACACATATTTTCAGCCATAGAAAATCACATTTGTGTTTTAACTGCCCCCCCCACCCTGCATTCATGTGGACAGTGCTATCCTTTGTGTACAGCAAGATTTTGTACCTGATGTCTTCTTCATAAAAAGAGTAAAACTGCTGAGATGTAAATAATCAGTACTAACGCAGAACGTACCACAAATGCTGGAGCAGGGGGGGTGGGGAACGGCTTGGGGCAATGGAGATGAAAAAGGATGAGAACTGGGCTTTGCTTCTCCAAAACAGCTTATTCACTTTCCCGTGCAGACTCTGTCTTGATACCATAAGAAAATAAGAGCTGTGTTAAATCAGACCAAAGGCCGATCTGTTCCAGCGCTGTTGACACAGTGGCCTTTGGGAAGCCCCTAGCAGGACAGGAGTGCCTCAGCTCGGCCTCCCTCCTTCTCCAGTCTCTCCGTGTTCACAGGGGAAGGTCTGCAATGAAAGTGTTCCTGTGCTCCGCATTTTAATGGAGCAGCCTGCAGTCAGGAGAGGAAGGGAAGGGCTGCAACTCACGTTCCCAGCTCCCTCTACACAATTTTCAGCTAAGTGCTTATAGAGAGC